AGAGACCCTGCCACAACTAATGACGCATGCGCTGCGCTGAGTGGCAGCAAGTTTCAGCAGCTCTGGTCTGGTTGTGTTTTCTTTCATGTTTTTATTAAGTTTTCCAGTGTTTGCTTTGTGTTATTCTCTTGCTGTAGTCCTCAGTGGTGCTGTGCTACCAGGAGTACAAATTGTCATTGTGTTTGCATTATGACTCTTACTACTTCGCGAGCTCCAGAGTCAGGAGATGCCGGTCGCATTGTTTACACCCGAAGCCAACTACTAACACTCAGAAGCAACCTCACGGAGAGAAGCTGGAAATTCCCTTGGAAACACGGCGTAAAATGCGGCGCTGCAGAGCCGGCATAAAGTGCCGGGAGATGAAACGGAGGTATAAGCCGTGTTTACCATCTGTCGTTATGGGTAACGTGCGGTCCCTCTCCAACAAGATGGACGAGCTAACCGCGCTAATGAGACTGCAACGTGAGTATAGGGAGAGCAGCCTGCTATGCTTCACCGAGACCTGGCTGAACAACAACAGTCCAGATTCTGTGGTTTCCTTACAAGGATTTACACTAATTCGGGCAGATCGAAGCACGGCTGACTGTGGTAAGAGGAAAGGTGGAGGTTTGGCGGTGTACTTTAATAACAGATGGTGCAATCCCGGACACATTACTGTTAAGGAAAAATTCTGTAGCAGGGACATTGAACTATTAGCTGTCAGCGTACGGCCGTGATTGTGGTGACAGTGTACATTAATCCTTCGGCCGACGCTTAGGCTGCGTGTCAGCACGTACTGAGCACCATAGGCGGGCTGAAGACACAACATCCACAGGCTTTAATTATTATCTCGGGGGACTTTAACTATGCTTCTCTCCCCTTCTCAGCCACCCTCCCAAACTTCACCCAGTATGTAAATTGCCACACAAGGGACAATAAAACTGTTCACCTACTTCCAGTGTATACTCCAGTGGTGAAAAAAGTGTGACCTCAGGTCAGGGTAGTAAAGGTATGGACAGAGGAGCAGCTGAGGGACTGTTTTAACACCACAGACTGGGACATCCTCTGCAGTCCTCATGGAGAGGACATAGATGGCCCCACACAGTGTTTCGGATTACATAAACTTCTGTGTAGAAAATATGTACCATCTAGGAGAGTATGGTGTTTTCCTAACAACAAGCCGTGGGTGAGCCCCGAGTTAAAAGTACTGCTAAATTAGAAGAAGAGGGCTTTCCTCTCAGGGGACAAGGAGGAACTGAGCAGGGTGCAGTGGGAACTAAAGTACATGATCCGGAGGTGCAAGGTTAGCTACAGGAAGAAGCTGGAGCAGAACATGAAGAATAACAATGTGTGTGAGGTGTGGAGAGGCCTGAAACACATCTCGGGTCATTGTAAAAGTGGAGATGGTCACCAGGCTTGGGGGGAATAGGCCTGGGCAAATGAACTGAATGTGTTTTTTAATAGATTTGACTCTACCCAGTCCTCAGCCCCCACCCTGCCAGCCCCCCCAACTTACTTCTCCAAGTCAGTTGTCTACCTGCAGCCGCAGCTGCTCACACCTCAGCCAGACCTTGCCCCTCCTCCCACTGTCACAGCATCCCACAGCTCCTGAGCAGTCACCGCCCACCAGCCCCCTCCGCCTCATGGCGACCAGGTCAGGAAGGAGTTAAGGAGGATTAAGGCCAGGAAGGCCGCAGGCCCTGACCACATCAGCCCCAGGGTCCTCAGGGAGTGTGCAGACCAGCTCAGTGAGGTGGTACTGTACATGTCTAACCTGAGTCTTAGCCTGGAGAGAGTCCCAGCCCAATGGAAGACATCCTGTGTTGTCCCTGTTCCCAAAATACCTCATCCTAAGGAGCCAAACCACTACTGATCCATTGCCCTGACCTCCCACCTGATGAGGACCATGGAGAGAATTGTCCTTGGCCACCTCCGTGCCCAGGTGAGCTCGGCGCTCGACCCGCTACAGTTTGCATACCATCCTGGCATCGGGGTTGATGACGCCATTATCTACATGCTGCATCGAGTCCTATCTCATCTGGAGTTCCCCAGAAGCATGGTGAGGGTCATGTTCTTTGACTTCTCCAGTGCTTTCAACACAATCCAGCCGTCACTGCTGAGGGGGAAGTTGGAGGG